CCTGATACGTACGTTGAAGTTAACTAATGCTTTATCGAAATAGCAATCTGGGAACCTCCTATGCCGGAGTTCCATTTTCAGAGTGAACAGAAAGGTTGTTTCAGCTGCAGGGAGTGTGCCCATCGCGTAGGCTCTGTGCAGAAAGGACGAAATAACCGCTAGCTTCTGCTTCCTTATACAATATGACTGGTAATCCTGTAAGTTTTGAAAAATAAGACCCGTCCCGACAAGTAAACTATCCTGGTTCTTATGCATAGCTTGACAATAGACCCGAACTGGTTCACAACCCATTAGAATCCTACAACCCCGACAGGGCCATTGATCACCCTTACTAGTTACTTCCAATGTAAGATGTTTATCATAACAGCTGGTTGCAAACTTGCTCATAATCCCTTCCGCTCTGATCCTAGATGACTGATGCTGCTTACTATACTTTACAAAAACACACACATCATCAACGAGTCTGCATCCGAAAACTAAGCGTGTGTCGTTTCCCAAACTCCGAAAAAAGGTGAACTCGTTGTGGGCGCAAAGTAGACAAGCCAGAGCAGGACTCGATGATTTCCCCATAGGTATTCCCAAATTTTGTTTGACAACTTTCCCCATAGCCATAGTGTATGTTCTTTCCAAGTCAAAGGCAATGAATCTGAGCAGCAACGAAAATTTGACGGACTTATACCCTGGTTCGGATCTTGCTACTCTACAAAGAATTACGTTTTTATTCCTAGTGCGTACAAGGCATTTGAAGAACCCATTTTCCTCAAGAATATTCACTGCCCATTCAACAGCTGACATAATTGATGAGTGCGGCAACTGGCAAAACATCTCCTTCACATCAAAACTACCTGCTATCAAGTCCTCATACTGACCTATATTATTATTAATCTTTGTTAGGAATGAAGTAAGTAGATGTGTACTACGTAGATTGAAGTGACACTTAGAGGGAGCTCTTTTCAGAATTTCGTTTACACATAGCGAGACAATTCTGGCAGCTCCTCGTGACGGCTCATTCAAAGAGGGACAAATAGACCGTCACTTACAGACGTCTTTGTGTTTTGGTATTACATATGATCTACCCAGTTTACCCGATGATATCCATGGTGCGAGAGTCTGAAAATTATGTGCTTTGTAATCGGTTTTACACTGTCGAAGGACATCATCTTCCTCCATATTAGTAATAACCTGTAAACCTGCGTTCTCTGTGAAGAGCTTACGTAACCCTCCCGCATAAACAATCGGGCTACATACGAATGTGTCGCCATAGTTGTGATCCAACGGGCATAACACCAAACACTTGAACTTCTCCTTCCATTGCTGGATGTCATCATAGGTGATATACTTGTTACTTGTACTGCCTTTCGAAAAACAACCCTCAAGACCTGTGATAGGAACATCGAAGTCTACACCGAAGAACTGTTGCAGAGCCGTTACAATTTGTTTCCTAAGGGAGCCAGTATGAGAAATATAGTCAGGATATAATATGTTCTTGGAGTTACGTAGGCAGCTGGGGAAGAAATCAACTTCACTAATTCTAAAAGACACGTGCTCATTAACTCTCGGGAATTCCAGACAAGCCGTTGTGCAGGTACAGATTGGGTTAGCGACCACTGAGTGCGCCCTAAAATTATACAATAAATCAGGTATCGAACGATTTTTCGTCCACACAATGCGCAGCTTCCTACAGACCAGAAGAACGTAAGATCGTGGAAAGTTCAGACCCATAATACTCCGTTGGCAAATACTTCTAACCGCTGTTTTGACCACGTTTTCCTCATACCTTATGCTAACAATCAGTCGGGCGGAGAGGCTGAGGTGGTATTTTCTGCGGCAGGCATGAGATAAGATGATTCGTAGGGAGGTACGAGATCTTTTTAAGGAGATAGTACAAATAGCATTATAGGCGGTGATGAGAGTATCTAGAGTCCAGGATGAGAGCTCACGTCGAGATACTCGAGATTTAAGAAGGCGGGCGAGTTTATCTTTATAGGATAAGTGCTTGAAACAGAAGAGTTTGATAGAGTGGAAAGAGATGGAAACCCCTGGTTGAAACCAGGAGCGACAGTGTTTCAGGAGTGAAATCGGGAGATCAGATGTGGAGATAGTCGAATGACCAAATAGGCGGCGGATGAGTTTCCACTTTTCCAAGAAACAGAAACCAGATGAGATGCGGATAGTCAAAGGGATCGGAAGTTTGGTTTGGTGTGCATGTCGGAGAATAGAGATGAGACTGGATGATTCTAGACCATGGGGTGATGAGAACATGAACGGAAAGGGTCGTGAATTCGAAGGTAAGATGGGTGAGGTGATTACGGTATCGGAAGAACTAAGGGGAGGGCTGGGCAGCCGTGCGAACTTCTGTCTCCGTCGCTCCTTCCGACCTGGGCGGCAAGTTCTCCGACGGTGGGTATGGGTGGTAACGGAGTTAAGAGCGGGACTGAAGGAGCAGATGAAGAATTTTTCAGACGCGAGAAGATTATTGTCGGTTGTTGAGAAGATGGGAATAGGGATGTACCCATCAATTCCGACACGACGGATCTAGTGGTACAGTTTCCTGTTCCTACGAAGAAGTCGGGAAGAAAAAGTAGAAGAGGAGTGCTCTTTCCATCTAACATTCACAGAACGAGAGGTACATCCAATATAGACGTGTCTAAACCAGGGTGAGATAATAGCATACACTATCGGACTCGGACATGTTCTAAAATCATAATCAGTATTAAGCAGGTATAGTAATAAATTACGGAATTTAATACCCCAACGAATTTGATTATTAATAATTAAAAGAATTACAATCAAACGAAATAAGTAGGTAACCTTATCAACCTGAAGAGACTTACGATAATCGCGAAAAAATAATGCCCAATCCCACAATGATGATATGCTCAGGGCGTGTCCTCATTCACCCTGAACATCCTCAGTTGACGTGGCATAATGCTGCTCCTAGTCCTCTTCTTCGTCTTGGAGGCCCTGGTTCTTCAACCACTCGGTGAATCTTCGATTTGCCTTGATTTCAGCCACATCTGCTTTTGACTGCTCTAGCCTGATATAAGTGATGCCTTCGTCTAAGCACAATTTCTCCATATCCGCTTTCTTCAATGCGCGAAGTTGGCGTCGTTCATCCTCCTGAAGCTTCTGCAGCTGCTCTTCTTCGGTGTTTCTGGTCACTTCTTCAACAACCTTGGTCTTCCTCGCCCCTTCATCTTTGTCTGTCTCATCATCCGAGACATCGACGGCGCTTAGAGCAGGTCTCAGGTTGCGCGGCGTAGATTTCCTCGCTGATGGCCGTCGCACTGAGAGTCTTTGCTTCGTAAGCATTTGAGCTCCCATTCGCGCCATACGTTCCTTTAGAAACTGCGCCTCTTTGTTAGCTGCTTCTTCTCCTGCTAGAGTTTTTTTGTACGCCTTTTGTAGCGCCTCCAAATCCTTAGGCGTGTAAACCGCATCGCCGATAGGAACCATCCTCTGCTTTCCTTTCTCTGGTTCCATGGGCGGGCTTTTTTCCGTGACCGCATCCGACACCCTTTTGTTATTCGCGTTCTTCAGATCCATCAGCTCGTCCTTCAGACCAAGGAAATCCTTCTTGAGAGACGAGTTGTCGGCCTTCAACATGCTCATCTCGCTACTCCGACGCTGGAGTGCTACGCGGACATCGTCCAATTCCTTGATCTGAAGACGTAAGGCCGCGGTCTCGTCGCTTTGTGAACTTCCCGAGGATCCATCAGCCGAGAACCCCTTCTCACTACGAGCTCTCAGTAGCTCGATCTCTTTCCTCAACGTTTCTTCCTCGCTACTTCTGGACTGCGCCTTCTGGAGAGCCTCTTTTTCCCTTCGGAGCGCATCCAGACTGGATTCCACTTTCTTCCCCGCACACCTCGTCTTCAACTCTTCCAGCTCCCGACGTAGCTTCCCTACCTCTGATTCATCTTCATCAGGAAGGTCGACCTTCTTCCCAAGAACAGATTCGCATACAGCCTTCATGCTGCTTTGCACGGTTTTCCCCAATTTAGCCTCATGCTGCTCCTTCTTCTTGGCTACAGCATTGCGTTCCTCCTCTTCCTGCAATTTCTTCTTCTCGGCTTCCAGAAGCTCCAACTTAGCTGCCTCCTGCTTCCGCTTCTCTCGCTCATCGGCCTGTTCGGCGAGGAGTCCATAGATTTTGTCGAAGCGATCGTCATTGTTTGAGTCTCTGAAACCGCCTCCCCAAAACTTGCCGTATCTCTGTCCTCCGTAACCCTGATTGTTACGAAAGTCGTTACCTCCATAATTACCACCGTAGTTACCACCGTAGTTGCCGTAATTGCCGTTATTGCTTCCTCCGCTTCTATTCTGAGGTGCTTGATAAGGCACTATTGCACTCGACATGTTGCATGCACCAGCCACCTGTGAAGAAGAAGAAGTCGGTGCTGGTAGCAAACCACCATTACTGTTCTGTGCACCATTACCCATAGCTCCTTGGATGCTTGCCGCCATCTGTGCTCCGTTCGGGCAGTTGCGGAACGGACATTGTCGAATGAAGTGGCCTGGTAATTGGCAGAAATGACATACTCCAGGCTTATACATTCTGATGCTGAGGACTAGCAGCGTCCTCTCGGTACGATCCGCGGGCAGAGCCCTACAGGTTACCTCACTGCGCAAGAAAGAGGAGAGAAATGGAGCGAATGAGGTGGAGAGAGTGAAGAGAGTGGAGAGAGTGAAGTTCGTAGTCACGCGAGCGGGGTGAGCAATCTCCCCGTCGATTCTCTACGTGCATGTTGCAGTATGAGCGGTCATACAAGCAAGTGCATGCACTTCGGAAGACACATACAAGACAGGATGTTGACGAGACAAGACAAGAAGTCATAAACCCCCGAGCGCAGCATTCTTAGAATATTCAATGAAGTACAAATGAAAGTAGGCGCGAAGCGCCATAGTCAACAAGCACTGCTGACGGTACTACCCTACACGTGTTTCGGCCGGGCCGTCAGAACAGCGGCCATCTTCAGGGGCTTGCGCTGGTGAGAATGATTGAAAAGAAACAGACAGACTACTTATATCCATTGGTAGTCAGCGAACACGGAAACTACGAGAACCTGAAAAAATAGTCTGGACCGTACCGAAAGCTAACAAACAGCCCGGAAGGGGCCAGACAGGACTATAAAAAAATTGAAAAAATGAAAAAATTGATTCTGCACTACGACCCTATACAGGTACTCAAGGCCCTAAGTCCGGACTAGTCCAGTTTGTAAAACATTCCACCCACCTGTACCAGGATCCCCTGATACGTACGTTGAAGTTAACTAATGCTTTATCGAAATAGCAATCTGGGAACCTCCTATGCCGGAGTTCCATTTTCAGAGTGAACAGAAAGGCTGCTTCAGCTGCAGGCAGTGTGCCCATAGCGTAGGCTCTGTGCAGAAAGGACCTGAGGGCCTGAGGCCCGAACGCTGAGTGCCTGAGTACCTGAGGCCAGAGGCCTGCGGGGCCCTTGCTGTGAAACTTGGTAAAAAGCTACATTTTTGCTGGCAAACTACAGGTTCCTGGTAAAGTTGCAACGTCTATTTTTGCAAAGGAAACTTCGAACGGACAACATTTTTGCTGCCAAACTTGGAAAAAGCAATATTTTTGCAATTAACCCTCTTGTATATTGTAGCAGTGCGGAAAACAAAAACAAAAAAAAAAACAAAAAAAATTAAAAAAGGGGCGGCGCGGAAGACGTTCTCCGTTTTTCGTGGAGTGGTTACGGTTACGGTTGGGGAAGAGGGTAAAACGTGTCGGGGTTCGTGAGGTGTCGAGCGGGCGGGGGGGTGGTGGGGCCGGTTGTGCATGCGTCGTGGGGAGAGAAGGCAATGGAGGGGAAGCCATGAGATCATTCATTGAGAATGGGGGGTGTGGAGGGGGAGCTATCCGTGTGTGGGGAAGGGAGCTGCAGGCACTGACTGCAGGCGCTGACAACGGTGTCCGGATGCATGGGCAGGAGGGAACGTGTCAGGAGTCGCAGGGGTCTGCCCGGGCGGTTGTGCATGCGTCCCGGGGAGCGATGGAAGTGGAGGGGAGGGCAGCATTTCATTCAGAATGGGGGGCGTGCAGGGGGAGCTATCGGTGGGATGGGAGTGCGGCCGTGTGGGAGCTATCGGTGGAAGAGGGAGGGCATTGCATGCAGCCTGATGCAGGTGCTGAAGGGAAGGCATTGCATGCAGGTGCTGACTGCAGCCGCTGACATGGCAATGGTGGGCGTGGAGGGAAAGCCCTCGGTGGGAGGGACAGTGGATCGGCGTCAGTGGACGGTCATCAGCCGCTGCTCTTGTGTTACATATAAGAAGAGGCTGCTGCTGTTGAAGATGCAAAAGCAGCGTTGTGAGTCGCGTTGTGAGACGAGACAGGAAGGGGCTGCCAAAAGTTTGAGAGGACGAAGGGTGTGGAGATTGCGTGGACGGTGTCGAAGCAGAGGGCACCGAGGAAGTGGCAACGTCGGGGCTGAAGGTGAGTGGGACGTTCTTGACCTGCGTCTGCTTCTTCTTCTATTTCTTGTCTTGTCCTTTTTTTTCCCACTTCGTCTGCTATAGATTTGCGCTTATGGTCGTTGTCTGGTGTAGATTTGCGGTTATGCTCGTCTTCCGGTGTTGATTTGCACTTGTGCTAATGTATGGCTCGTCGATTGATTGGTCGAATGAATGAAAGCTGGAAAGAAAATAAATTGATAACAAAATGGAGATCTGTCCCTGTGATGTCAAGAAACCCCGTCGGGCACGAATACAGACACAGAGAGAGAGAGAGAGAGAGAGAGAGAGAGAGAGAGAGAGATCCCGCATGCACTTGCGATCACAGTGCTTCCTGCCTTCGACCTGGCTCGTTGAACTTCTGCTTTCTGTTTCATTGTCCTGGACATCGTTTTCGTGCTTTTCTTCTTTTCTTCTTTTCTTGGTCTGGGTGAGATAATCACTGAGATTTGAAATGTAAGATCGTGGATGAATCATCAAATTTTAAATCACCAGCTCTCCCTCCCTTGCTCCCAGCACCGCCATACTGATAGACTTGACTTCCATGGGTTCGTTATGTGGATCTTGATCTCTCTCCTTTTCGTGCCTCTGTGAGCATTTACCATTTTCTCCTTCTTCTCGGCCAGTCGTTCCCCGTCTTCCATTGCATGTTATCTCTTTGTTCTTTTTTTCTGGAATACCTTATTGTTCCACCTTGTCTCTTGTTCACTTTCGCTGTTGCACTCTCTGTTTCTTCTCCTTGCTGCCCTCCGCGCTGCCTTCTGCCCGTGCCCGCTCATGTGGAGGTTCGGCGTACTGTGAGAGAGAGAGAGAGAGAGAGAGAGAGAGAGAGAGAGAGAGAGAGAGAGAGAGAGAGATCATGTATGCACTTTCGATCACAGTGCTTCCTGCCTGGTCTCGCTCCACTACTGTCCACTGTACAATTTTTCGGACAGTTGGTGGACAGTTGTCAGAGCGAAATACTGTACAGCGGACAGTGGAAAATGTGACATCGCTCCACCACTCTCCAAATGCGCAAAATAAGACTGAATCTTGCACTAGAACATGGAAAGATGCGCCGCCATATTTTGTCTTTTGTGCGTGTGGAGAGTAGTGGAGCGAGGCCCCTAATCTAAGCTCACTGCTCAGTGATTCAGTGACTTGCATTGCCACCGCAGTGGAACGAAGTCCTTACTTGCAGCGTCCACGCACAGAGCATCTGTTCGAACCCTCTCTGATCAACACAGTTTTTATGCATCTGCGAGCTTAGCCACCACACGATTGGGATCAGGGTCTGTTATGGCTTCTTCTTCTTCTCAGGGGTGACGTATCAAGGGCGCTGCATGAGACTATGCTTGTTGATCGGCCCATGAAGGTCCACATAACGATGACTGTCGACTGACCTTGAAGACTATCTAATTTTCGTGGTTTAAAATAATAACAATAGTAACACATTAACAATGCTATTAATTAATTCAAAAAAACGTGAGGTCTTTTTTTTTTTTCTTTTTTCTTTTTTTTTTTTTTTTTTTTTTGTGTGTGTGTGTGTGTGTGTGTGCGTGTGTGTCCATTCAACGGTACCATTTGAAGGTCGATGCATATCGAGCCTGGGGCGGACCGGCTTTCATTACCTGATTTGGCCTCGCTGCGGCTTTTCTGTCGCGGTCCTTTTCAAGACATCGCGGCCATAAAAAAAAGGGGAAACAATATAGGAATATTATTATTAGCATAGACCCTGCGCAAGCTCTTTTTTTTTGTGTGTGTGGGGGGCCCAGGGGGGTGTTCCCCGCGTAAGCTTCACACGCACGCTCGAGAAATGTTTAAATCCCCCCACCACCACCACCACCAAAAAGAATGTGCAAATGTCCCTTTTTTCGTCTTTTTTCGTATTTGAGGGAGGTTCCGCCTATCAGGTATTAGTGTATCCGGGAGGGTTCGAACTCATGATCTGTTTGTTAACGGCCACGAGGGCTGGAAATCCGCTCTGCCTTTCCTCGGCTTTTTTTTCAGCAGGTCCATGGGCCTCGCCCGACTACTCTTTTTTATTTATTTATTTTTATTTTTATTTTTTTCGTTCGCTCACAGAAAAGACAAAAATTATGGCGGTGTATCTTTCCATGCTGTAGTGGAGGATTCAGTTTCATTTTGCACATTTGGAGAGTAGTGGAGCGAGAGCCCATGGAGACCCCATGTTCGCGATGAGAGAGAAGATAAATAAATTTCATGTCATCATCACACATGGAAGTGGCGATCCGATAGATCTCTGCTTTTTTTTTTTTTTTTT